TAGCTGAAATATTTTATAAAATATTTGTTTAAAATTTAAATAAATYAATAATAGATATCATATAAATTGACATTTAATATAAGTTAATACACACACACACACAATCACTAACTCATAAAATATATATTGATATATATATATATATACATATATATATARTAAAACTAATATTTTTTTGGGGGCCATTGATTGATATGTTTTGAGGTTAAGTAGACTACAAGTATATATATATAAACGTTAGTCACATTCAAAACATGTCTCAAATGTCTTATTCAGTCAATTCAATGGTGAATTCAATTGAATTTATTATTTAAGTCATTCATTCATACATTCATTGATGACTAGAGAGTTAGTGATAGAGAGAGAGAGAGAGAGAGAAAGATATATATATATATATATATAGAGAGGGATAGAGAAAGAGAGATAGAGAGAGAGAGAGAGAGAGAGAGATAGAGAGAGAGAGAGAGAGAGAGAGAGAGAGAGAGAGAGAGAGAGATATATATATATATAGAGAGAGAGAGAGAGAGAGAGAGAGAGAGAGAGAGAGAGAGAGAGAGAGAGAGAGAGAGAGAGAGAGAGAGAGAGAGAGARAGAGAGAGAGGAGATCCTAAAAATACTGTTAGAAACAGTAGTTATTTTCATTACCTATTTAATCAAAATTAAGTGCAAATGCTATTAAAAGTCAATATTACTGTTTAGTGAACATCAATAAAAAATTTTTGTTGTTGTTGTTGTTGTTGTCGTTGTTGTTATTTATTTACTAATTTTGTTGTTGTTTTTTAGTTTTATTTTTAGTTTAGTCTGTCTCTCATTTATTACTCAAAAAAATWAAATAAATATATTTCAAATAAATAAATAAATAAATAAAAAGATCTAATATATAAAATATATTTCTATATTTTATATATTAAATAAAATAATTAAATAAATAAAAAATAAATAAATAATTTTATATATAAATAACTGTCCGATAAGTTTATTGACCGGAATTTAATTAGTTATCTATTTATAWTAATAATAAAAATAATAATTTTTCATTTTAATTATTTTTTTCTGAAAATTATATCATTAGAAAAATAACCATAATAAATTTATAATAATTATTTTTAATTAAATTATATATAATAATATTTATATTTTGTATCTATTTAAATAAAAAATCTTTCTATAATAGTATTATCTATTATTTTAAAATCTATTTTTAGTTTTTTTTTTTTTAATAATAAATAAAACATCAATTATTAGTATTAAAAAAATATATATWTTAATGTTTGTATTACTACTATAATACTATTATTACTAARTTGTAATTATAATAATAACTTWTATAATAAAAGCAASAAAAAAAATAATTACTAAAAATAATTTTATTTTATARAATAAACTWWTAAAAAAACAAAATCTTTTTATTTTCACAAAAAWAAATAAAACAATTTAATAGAAAAATCTCATTTGAATATTAGTTTTGTTTTTTCTTTCAAAAAAATTTAAGTAATTTATTTTCATAAATATTTATAATAATAATAACACAAACACATCAACACAACCAACAAAAACAACAAAAAAAATTGTTTACAAGTTTATTATGATTTTAAAATGATATAAYTTTTTTTAAAAAAAATGATATATATATATATATATATGTTTTTGTGTAAAATATATATATATATATYATATACTAATATATTTATATTCAATATATTACTTATGGTAAATAATAWATTTTTTATTTTACTTTATTTTTATTATTTTCGTATAATATATATWTATATATAGATAACACTATAGTATACATGAAATGCTTTTAAGAAAATCAAATTTCTAACAAACACTCTATTAAATTGTCATTTTTTGTGTGTATATAATAACTATATATATATATATATATATATATATATATATATATATATAAAACACTTAYTTCTCAAATATATATWTATTTATTTTTTTGTTAAATATATAGACAACAAAATCATCACTTTTATAGCTTTATTTCGATATATAAATCTATATATATATATATATACTAAACACTAGATTATAYTAATTATAATATATATATATATGTTAAATATGTTATATATATATATATATGTATATAATATTTATGATTATCTAATGTTGTTGTTGTTGTTAGCATACAGTACTTTATATAAGTATTAATATAAGTAGTTATATAACATCAATAAACAACATGTTTTCATTTAAAAAAACTATTTATAAGTATTATTATTATTATTATTATTATTATCAAAAACAGTATAGTTTAGTATATATATTATAMATCCAAATGATAACTKGAAATAATTGAATAATAATAATAATAACTAAWTTTYAAAAWATTTWAAATATCCAATTATTAKTRAAAAAAATAAATAAATAATATTTTTTAAATACAAAAAAYAAAGATAAGGATATAGTTATAGTATATCAACAAAAAAWTATTTTTTGAAAATAAAAGCTTTTAAAAAATTATATTTTATTATCTAAATATTTGTTTATTGAAAATAGTAAAAAAAATTCAATTCAATTCAATTAATAAATAAAAAACACACACAAAAAACAGTTATATATTATATATAAACAATAAATACTCTAATATATTGAAGATTTCTATTCAAATTAAATTATATTATAGCAAATACATATAYATATACAGTATATATACTGTATATAAATTATAATTATATTTATTCAATCATTTTTTAAAATAACAACAAAATAAACACACATTTTGTAAATGCCATTGAAATTACATACAGTATTTACAGTACTATATATATATACACAATATATATGTATATATATATATATACAATATATATATATATAATATATMTATCTATCTATTGATATAAATTACAATATATTACATATATRTTATACAACCAAWACATTCACACATATATGTGAGTATAATTTATAATAACAATAATAATATATTTATAGTTAACATAATTATTATATACTATATTTATATATATATTTAAAAAATATATTTTTACCCCTTTTGTTATTGTTATTATAAAATACATGGGTCTACACTAAAAYCTTTAAACYTTTAAAGTAAAATCTAAAAAAAACTAACAAATTAGATAACAAACAAACTTTAAATTTGAAAATTATTTTTAGATTAGATTTAATTTAGTTTTTTTCAAATACAATACAAAAWWAGTATTCAAAAAAAATAYATTATATATTATTGTGTATTACTATTAGAGATGGGCAAATAGAAAGTTTCTAATAAATTTCCATGAGAAAGTTTCTAGAAACTTTCTCATGAATAAATTTCTATATATATATATATATATCTATAGTTCTAATATTTTAATAACATATAATACTATACATAAAATATCATACATTATAGTATAGTACTATACAAAATGGGATACCTATATATAAAATAATTATAATTATTTAATAAAAATCAGTTTTTTAAAAATTTTATTCATTTTATTATATAAATCATAGTTTAATATAGTTTAATTAATTAATTTTTTATTTTAATTAATAATTAAAATAATAATAATAATATTAAATGTATTGTTATATGATAGCAAATATCGAGATAACAAAATTAACCATGGGGATCCCATAGATAGAAATTTCTTTTAGAAACTTTCTAGAAATTTCTCTATTATTTTATAAATTTCTCTTTTTTGCCAACACTGATTACTATGCATACAATTACTAGTATTTTTGTATGTTATATATATATATATATATATATACAAGTTTGATGATATATATATATATATATATACAAGTTTGATGATATATATATATATATATACTGTATATATTGTATTATATATTCAAACTATATCTTTATTCAACATAAATATATATAAGATTTTTTTGTTTGTTTTATTTTTCAATACGTTTTATTTGTCTATTTATTTTTTTCAATTAAGCTTTTAGTTTAGCTTATAGTATAGTAATGGTAACAATAAAAAAAACAATTGCTAAAAAATATCTTGTTTTTTTAAAAGTAAATAATTGTATTATAATTCACACAAATTATTATAATAATCAAAAATATTTATAAATTTTTTTTGCTATAATCTTTAAAAATAACTATAAAAAACATTAAAATTCATTTGTATTATATTTATAGTCTAATTATATTTTTTTTTTGTATATATTCATTATTATTATTATTATTATTATTATTATGTTATACATAACATATAATAATAATAACTTTTTAAAATAAAAATTTTCATAATAATAATACTYTCATTAATAAGTGTTTCGATGACTATTGTTATGCAAAATATATTTACAGAATATTATTATAATTTTTTTTATACAGAATTTTCTGTTTATATTAATAGTAATATATATATATATATACATTATATACTGTATATAAAGTACACTTAAAAATAAATTGCAAAAAAATATTACTTATATGTATTAATAATATTACTTTTAAATATCTTATTATATACTGTATATGTAATGCAAATAATAATAATAATAAAATTTTGTCCAAATAAATACATACTGTAATAAAAAATATTATGCGCCATCTATTAGTTGCCAATTTATTTGGTTTATAAAAATAAATTTAAACTAGCACACATTGTTAAAAAAATTTTTTTATTAAACTAATAATTTTCATCAAAATAAACAATTATTATTTTTTTAAAAAAAAATAATTTTAAAACAWKTATATTATAAATATTTGCATATTTAACAATTATAATATAAAACTATAATTTACTTTAAAAAGTAACCTGTATAATTTAATTAATTAAATATTAATACACTAATAGTATCAGGATATTATCAAATTTTTTTATTGATTCAATAATAATATTAATTAATTATTTTAAAAAAACAAAAAAWATATATATTTTTTAAATTAATATTAAATTTTAGTTTATATTTACTAGTTTTATGAGTAATAAACTTAATTATTATATAACTAATTTGCAAATAAATTTTGTTTTTTTACATTATAGTTAAACTATTTAAAAAATATGACTTACCATATGATACTCCTGATTGATGGCCTGATCCGTGTCCTGACTGTCATCAATGTTATCCGTGTCCTAATGAWAACAATMACTTATTTTATAATTTTTTTTTAATAAAAAATAATTACTTTATTGATTATTAAAACTACTATTAATTACACATTCARTTAATTACACTTATGTTTGTTTGTAACATAATATTAATAATAATAATAAACTTGACTTTAAAAAATAAAGTTTACTTWAAAAAATAAAGTTTACTTWAAAAAATAAAGTTTACTTTAAAAAAATAAAATTATTAAGTTTTATAACACACACACACACACATACATACATACACACACACACACACACACATACTCACACATACATACATATACACACACATACATACAAACACATACATACACACACATACATACATATACACACACATACATACACACACATACATACATACATATACACACACATACATACACACACATACATACACATACATACACACACACATACACACACACACACATACATACACACACACACACACACACACACATACACACACACATACATCACACACACACACACACACACACACACACACACACACACACACACACACACACACACACACACACACACTGGACTAACTGACTGACCTCTAGATCGGCCAACACTCGTATTTCATCGGCAAACCATCGATAGTGTGCACCCAATATTGAAATCTTGTTGAGAAAGTCGCTTATTTCGCGGGCAATCAGTTTGTTTTCGGTAAAATCGTGCGGACACAGTCGGCACCAGTCGTGCAGTAGTTTCAGTATAGCCCGATGKGTGTGCGGCATAATCGGGTCGATACCACCGGTGCCGACGCCGCCGATACAGCCAATGCCTACGTGTCCGGCACTGCCCGATCGCGACCCGGATCGAGACGGCGATCGATATGTAGTGGCCGATGAACCGCCGCCGCCACCACCGCCAGCCGAGTGCGGGCTTTCGTTGGCCGCCGCAGTYGGCTGTTTGGGCGCCAACTTTGACGGCGATACCGACGGACTGATACCTATAGAGATTGTTGACAACAAAAAAAACAATTAAATTTAAATAAAATACAAAATACAAAATAATAATAATAATAATAATCTTATCATTATAATCATTATCTAATAATTAATTTTTTTAATAAAATTTTTATTAATATTATTAATATTGTTTATTAGTTATAGTGTTAATTAATTAATAATTTTTTTTTGAATTAGTTATTTCTAGTAAAAAATTAATTACTATTTAGACATCAAAATGTGTATTAATATTTAAAAAATTATTTTTTTTTATTTATTTATTATTTATTAAAAAAATATTTATTAAAAAAACAAAATTTATAATCAATAAAACATATGCTTAAATAATTAATTTCAATCAAAAAAAAATGTAAAAATAATTATTACTATAATTAACAACTAAATAGATATTCTTAAACAACAATTAATTGATAAAAACTACTATTAAGTTAATAAAATAATAATAAAAAATAATAATTATTATTATAATACCTGTATTGGCTGCCAGTGGTTGCGGTGGACCTATACTGGCTCCGGGAGTGGCGACACCGGGTCCGGTAGTCATTGACTGATTACTACCGATGACGGCCACTGTCGACGGCTGCGGCGGCGACGACGACCACTCGGMAGTAGCGCTACGTGTGATTAGCGATGACGACGGCGGCGGCAATAATGGCTGCGGTGATGTCGATGACGACACCATAAACTTTTGGACGGCCTGTGCAGTCATGGCGGACGGCAATTGTAGACAATTACTACTAGAAGTGGCGGCTAGACTATCGAAATGGACACGCGGYACACTGCACGATCGGGGCCTATTGTAGCCGAGATTATTGGCGGCCATACCGTTACCGCCACCGTGAGGTTGGCCACCACCGCCACCAAATGCCGACCGTTCCAGTGCGTCCCTAATATAGGCGGCAATACTTGAACCATACTGGCCGAGACCACCAGTCGGTAAATGTGGTACCGGTGAKGTGTCACCGCGCGGCARGTTTTGTATGTCACGCTGAAAGGCCATAATATCGGCTTCGGTACGTTCGGGTGTATCGACATCGACAGCAGCAGCAGCAACAACATTGGCGRCGGCGGCGGTATTGGTCAACGAGTCGCGTCCCGACGAYGACGATTGTGGCGGTGGACTACCCGTATCGGTCGATCGGGACAGCCGTTTGCGGCGTAGACTAGAAAAACGAAACGGCCGTCGGGACTGRTGTTGTTGTTGYTGTTGGTGTTGGTGATGGACGGGTGAGTCGGCGGGTGTACTCTCACGACTACTATCGGTAGCAGYTGTCGTCGTCGCGTACATCASGTGCTGTAGCTGCGGATCGAYCAGTGATTTTCGGCCGACGACACCACTGCCGCTGTACGGTTGTTGGCCACCAGTAGTTGTTTTCAGGCCRACCAATGCCAATGATGATTGCGGCGATACAGCCGATGATGATAGCAATTGT